CGGCCGCCCCGAGCTGAGCGCGGGCCGTGGGGGGCTTGTCCCCGGCCCAGATGCCCCCGGGACGTGCGCGCAGCTCCGGGAGGGCCTCCTGCAGGTCGCAGCCCCAGCTCAGCGCTCACCGTGGCCTTGGTCAAAATCAGCATTATCTCTGATTCGCAAGTTCTTTAAATTTGCAAACGGGGTTCATTACATAACCTTGCAAGGGTTGTCCTGTGTCTCAAAGGAGAAACTGTGTGTGTAAAAGAAGCAGGAAAGATGTGAACGTCAAACTCGGGAAAACAGTTACCTCTAGGGAGTACGGAGGGAAAGCCTCATGAAAGGATTTCATAATGCTTTTTAATGAAAAATAAGTGATTACCCCTGCCTTTTTCTAGGGTCTGAATGTCTTCCTCAAACTCTGGACCAAGACTCCCTCCAGCTACCCGAAGGTAGGCAGATGGCCTTGCCTGGATTCCTTTCCTCAGAGGGATGCAGTCAGTCCCCTCATCTGCTGTCTCTGTGGCCCCCTAGGTCTCTGCCTCAGGCAGATGCTGCTGGGTGAAGTCCCACACTTTGGTGTGTTCTGCTGTAGCCTCATTTCCAAAGGAGTCAGGTTTGGGCCCTTTCAAGGTAAAGTGGTCAACGCCAGTGAAGTCAAGACCCACGGCGACAATTCTCTGATGTGGGAGGTAAATCCGTTTTTTGCAGGGAGGAGGGCGGGTGGAGGAACATCTTGTCCTGTGCCCCCTCNCAAGACCCACGGCGACAATTCTCTGATGTGGGAGGTAAATCCGTTTTTTGTAGGGAGGAGGGCGGGTGGAGGAACATCTTGTCCTGTGCCCCCTCTGGAAGAGGGGACAAGGGCAGTAATCTGCTGGCTGTGTTGCCTGTTTTGCAATATAAAGGGAGGGAAAGGAGAGATTCTCACTCTGTGACCTTGACCAACAGCACCTCTGCAGAAATCCTGCGCATCTCTTCCTGCCCTGAGTCATTTTAGTCTGTGAACATGAGCCAGGGCGTGTACATTTAAAGAATTCTTACATTGTGCTGTATTTATAGACAGAAATGCTCAAGTGATGCTGAGAAGATGCCAAGGGAAATAAAAACAAATTTAAAATTTTTTATATCACTTGCCTATGAAATTAGCTAAAAGCTGAGACTCTTGACTGTGGATGGGGCGTGCTGGCCAGGCTGCAGTTTGTCAGAATTGATCAGCTATCTGCCCTCGACCCTGAATTTCTACTTCCATTAAACTAGTTCATGGAAGTAAGCTGAAATTCCACATGGAAGATGTTAATCTCAGGGTCGTTTATAATAACATCAGAGACGGTGGAATTGCCAAGATCAGAGAATTAAAGTATGGCTTCATTAATATGCACGAAAACTTGGTTGGGATAAAATACGAAACTAACTGGTTGTCTTTAAGTGGTAGAATTGAACATGACCTCTTGTTTTCCTTACCTCTGCTTATGAAAAACATGCTCACTATAGAAATTTGGAAATCAAGAAAGGGATAAAGTAAGAATCTTTAAAACCTATAGAGAAGCCCTTAAGCTAATAAAATTGTTTAGGCTTAATAATAAAATTAATAACAAATCTATTCAGTGGGCTCTCCAGTGTGAGATTTGGATGATAAGTTTTTCACAAGTAAACTTGTTTTATAGGTTAGCCAAATAATAATAAATTCCAAATGTGATCTTATTTTTTTAGATCTTTGAAGATGGTCGTTTGAGCCACTTTATAGATGGGAAAGGAGGTGCAGGGAACTGGATGTCCTATGTCAACTGTGCCCGTTTCCCCAAGGAGCAGAACCTAGTTGCAGTGCAAAGTCAAGGGCAGATATTTTATGAGAGCTGCAAGGAGATCTACCAGAACCAAGAGCTCCTTGTGTGGTATGGAGACTGCTATGAAAAGTTTTTGGACATTCCTGTGAGCCTTCAGGAGACTGAGCAGGGGAAGCAGGCATCTGGGCCCTCTGAAGGTGAGTGCACACCTTTGCCTCACCCACTGAGGCGCTCCTAGCAGAAGGACACCTTCCTGCAGCTTCTCAGCTGCCTGTGGAGCTTCCCCGAAGGTTCATACAGGAGACTAAATGGAGGTTGTCCCTAACCAGGGAGCATTACCCAGCTGGAGGAAAAGGCCCTCATCTTTCTGCAGCTGCTGAAGCTGCTTCTACTTACAAGGATCCCTTTTCTTGTACGCCTTCACCCCCACCCAGAGAAGACAATAAACGTGAAATAAATGGACCGACCTCTGCCTTAGGCGAGCCAGTTTCTGAGTCCTGTCTGCTCAGGCTAACACAGCCTGTGAAGTCACTGCTCCAGAGCAGTGTTTTCAGAGGGTGGGTTGCAGTATCTTAATGGGGTGAGAAATCAATTTAGTGGTAGAGATTAGCATGAAAGGAAAAAAAGAGAATAGGAATAAAGTAGGATAGGCGATATTGATGTGAATGGCACTTAAGTAAGAGCAAGCATTGTTTGTGAAGTTGTTGCCTACTGTGGATCTCAGTCAAATTTGACAAGCATTGAGCTAGACTCTCGCTCTCAGACTTTAATGTGACTGAGAGTACCTGGGCAACCTTGGGAAGGTGCAGATTCTCATTCCGCCCTGGGACCTGAGAGTTTGCATTTCTATCCAGCTTCCAGGAGATGCTGATGCTGCTGGTCCCTGGGACTACATTTTAGTAGCAAGGAGCTAGAGGACCACCAACCCACTCCCTCGTGGTGAGCCTCTGAATTTTGCATTTAACAAAAGCTCTCTGGGTGATTTTTCTCTACACAGAAGCTTGGGAACCACTGATCTTGTTGGTGGGACAAGTGAAAATTACTGTAATATGTGTAATCAGGTAGAAGACCACCTTATTATGTTACAATAAATGCAATAAGTAGCAGGTAAAAGAAGATGGGAATTGCATTCATCACACACTACAGTGATTGTCTGCATGGGTGGCTCCAGCTAGACTGAGTCCTCCAGGCAGGAAATAACTCTACACCTCCATATCCCCTGCTCCTGGAGCGCAGTGTGGATTGAATGAAGGAGGGAGACACTGACTCAGCTGGGAAAGGCTGCTCAGGGATGAGAGGAAATGCGGGGTGTGCTAGGCAGGGAGAGAGAAGGCAGCCAGGCGGGGGATGGTGAAGCCAAAGGCAGCCACACGTTCACCAGGGGATAGGAGGTGAGTAGTGAGAGATATCTTTCCAGAGTCCAAATAATGTCGGAATTGTTTTCGGCAAACTATCTTCTTACTACCCTAACGTAGAGATGGTGGGATCTCTGAAGTCCTGGGACTCGAGTTATCACCTACTTAGAAACAAGCCAAGCATGGCTTTTTGGTCACTTCCCAAAATGTACCAATTGCTTTAAAAATAAAGTGAAAAAGAGATTTGAGACAGATATATGCTTGATAACTCCCCAAATTTATTCATTATCCTTTTTGAAAAATTCTTTAACCTGATGTAAGGAGCTTTTAAAATGTTCATAACCTTTGATGTCTCAGTAATACTCTTCTGGACATTTATCGTCAGGAAATAATCCAGAAGGATTTTTTTTTTTTTTTTAACCCACAAGGATTTTTGCTACAGCACCATCTGAATTAGTGAAAAAAGCACAAACAATCTTAAGTGCTCAATAGTAGAATAATTAAGTAAATGAAGACGTATTCACATGGAATAATATGCTGATAGCAGAGATTACAGCCTGTAAGCCACAGGGATGCGGGCTTAAGGGGAGGGGATCAGATACCTGTGCTCCAGTTCTGAACAAAATTACCGATGCTCACAGCATTGTCAAAGTAATGTGTATTTTAGACAATGTGTGAGAGGGAACTTGTAAAAGAATTTGTTGGGAGGAATTATGGATGGATTCATTTGTTTTCTGCTACAAATGTTTAGGGTAAAAAGGAAAGAAAGAAATCAGAATTCCTGTCCTCACAAGGCCTTCTCCCAGGCTTTGGGTGAGGATCGGTGAGAGCCTCTCCCTTAAGGTCCTGAGTGGGAGGGAAGGGCCTGGACCCTATGTGGGCGGGCTATTTGAGTAAGCAGCCTGCCGAGTGTGTGTTTTGGGGGCTGGAGGTGTGGAATGTGAAGACAGCTCTTAATCCTTACAGAACTCGGTCTGAAAGGTGGTGGGGCAAGATTGAGAATCCCCTGGACTAAAAAGAGTAGTTGATTGAGCTGGGGGGAGGAAGAAGGGAGAGAACAGGATAAAATGAGGTGAAGATACGTTTCCAAAGACCCAAGCCTAATTAGTAAACGTGGGTGTCATTTCTGCCGAAGTGGTTGTTCTTATGCAAGTTCACTCTAGTGCCCATATTTTGAATTTTAGTGTGTTTTAGTGCTTCGATTTGTAAAGATCACTGGCCCCATCTTTTAGGCCCCCTTTTCCCATCCCAGGAAGCAAGAAGGCCAGGTATTTCTAACCGAGGGAAATTCTAGCTCTGAGCAAAAAACCGTGCTTCTTGGGGATTCTGAGAATATTAGCACCTCAATGAAAGTGGCAGACGCGCCTGGCGATGGATTGTCCTGGGGGTGGCGGTTGCCTTCCTGGTTATTTACTTAATGAATGGTTTATTTCCTTAGCCACCTGTTAAACGTGCCTGGCATGGAGTTGTTAACTAACAAAGCCCCTGATGGATAGCTTCCCTGCTGTCCTGATACGGGAAAGATTTCCATCTCCAGATTCTTGCATATAGTCACTCTTGGCTCTTTTCTCCCTCCCTGGGGCCAGACAATGAGGTCTCAGCAAAGCCACTTATCCTCTACAGAGATTCTTTAGTAGGTGGCCCCGGTCCTCTCCCTTCCTCCCAACACGTGGACATCCCGGGACCTGGCACCTCCTTGCTAGAGTCTACAGCACCCTCTCTAACTTCTTTCCTCCTCTCTCCTCCATTGATAAAAACAATTTACTTTTCTCAGTCTTATCTATCACTCAGTGATAGTATACTCATGGTGGTAAGAGCCCATTAAGTGTTAGAATTAAATGAACCACCACGGTAACCCTATGTATTAGGGAAGGCAAGATACTGCCACCCTTGGGGGCCCTGGTCGGGGGGGGGGGCAGTTCATTTGAGCATCATCCGATACACCAAGACACTGCCATCCTTACTTTGTACGTGAACGTTCTAGCTCTGGAGTCTTCCCCCAAAGCTCAGAGACGTGAACTTGGAGCTAAGAGGGTACCTAAGGCTTTGTGAATGGGGTCAAGAGGAGCAGCACTCGGGAGGCCTGTGACGCAAGCTCTGGGTGTCGTCATCGTCCTGGGTGAACAGTTTCAAACCTGAGGCTCGGGCTGATCTGAAAGGGACACCGAGGAGGCATGTCCCGGTTATAAACCTGGTGACAAGTGCCAGTCAGGAGTGTAAGATTATGGTGCGAGGTATTTATGAGCCAAATGATAAATTAGTGTTCCCGTTATGAAGGGAAGTGATATTAATTAGAACAAAATTGGCCATGAGTTGATCCGTGTCAACACTTGGTGTTAGGCATGTGAGGGTTTATTATTTTGACTTTAGAATATGTTTAAAATTTCCTATAGGGGAAAGTTCTTAAAAACTGCTGTGAAGGAAGTAAGAATGAGGTGAGGCAGCTGACAAAGCCACTGCTCCTGTCCCCTGTGTTTGACAGAGTCTGCAGAAGGGTACAGATGTGACCGATGTGGGAAAGTGTTTACCTACAGATATTACAGAGATAAGCACCTCAAGTACACCCCCTGCGTGGACAAGGGTGACAGGAAATTCCCCTGCTCTCTCTGCAAACGGTCCTTCGAGAAACGGGACCGGCTCCGAATCCATATCCTCCACGTTCACGAGAAGCACCGGCCTCACAAGGTGAGACCTGAGTTCTGGTGGCAAATGGTCCTGCCCATGGCTCAGCCTCGGCTCTCAGGTCCCTCCCCAAACCCTGGACACACTGAGGGCCTCCTGAGTGCAGGGCCTGCTGTCATTCTGGACGAGTGATTGAGAGCGAAGCAGACAGATGTCACAGGAAAATATAGTGCATGCTGGGTAAATACAACACTGAGAAAAACAAGACAAAAACCGCCCGATGTGCTATGGCCCAAAGCTAAGACATCTTAGGTACACATGGAGTCAGTACAATAGTTAACATCATGGGGAAATGAGCTCGTTAGGGGAAGACGTGATTTCAACTGTGTTCTCTTTTGCCTCAGTGTTCCACGTGCGGGAAATGCTTCTCTCAGTCTTCCAGCCTAAACAAGCACATGAGAGTCCACTCTGGAGACAGACCCTACCAGTGTGTGTACTGTACTAAGGTACGTGGAGCCTCCTTCCAAGGGGTCTGCTTCAGTTCTGTTGGGGTGTCCATGCTTAGGAACTTGAAACATAAAAAGCCTGGTTTATCCCATTTCCACCCCCAAGTCTCCTCACGTGTGCTTGTGATGGTCAGATACAAATTGGCATTTAGGGCATGTGCGGTGAGATATGCCCCAAATTACACAGTACACTCCCCCACCTTAAGCTGGTAAAGACTGGCCATGTCTGGGTGTCTATGCAAGAACAGCTTGTGCATCTTACTGAGCAGTGACCCAACCCCACATGTGCCCAGACACCCCATTGTTCAGTGCTTCTCTCCCAGCCCCCTGAATCTGAGGTCACCAGTTTAACTTTGTCTTTTATGTCACTGTCATTGGGCCCAAAAAGGAGTCATTACATTTCTAATATACTACCTGAAAGTGACAAAGGCCAGGGCATAGGTTACAAATAGGGAAAGAAAAAGGTGGGCAAAAAAGATATGTAAAAACAGCAAAGTATTTGGGAATCTTAAGATGTTACAGCCACTTTGCAGAACAGTTGGGCAGTTTTTTTAAAAACTACAACTTGTAACTACCGTACAATCCTGCAGTTACTTATATGTTCACACAAAAACCTGTACACAGATGTTTGTAGCAGCTTATTTCCGCCCCAGTACGGGTGTCCTTCGGGGGGTAAGCAATGAGACAGACCATGGTACATCCACACCACAGAATGCCACTCAGCAATGAAAAGGGGATGAACTGTACACACAGCGGCCTGGGTGAATCGCCAGAGAATTATGCCGAGTGAGAAAAACCAGTCACCTAAAGGTTGTATACTTTATGATTCCCTATATATAACATTCTAAGATGGTATAGAAATGGAGAAGAGATTAGTAGCTGCCACGGCTTAAGAAAAAAATGGGAATGGGAGGAACTAGGTATGTCTATAAAGGGCAACAAGAAGGGTCTTTATGATGAAAATGTTCTTTATCTCAACTATGTCAACATCAGTATCCCGGTTGTGATACTATAGTTTGTAAGATGTAACTTGGGAAACTGGGTGAAGAATCTGTATTACCTCTTATGAATACATGTGAATGTACAAGTAGTACAAAAAGTACTCAAAAGTCTTCAAGACTCAAAAAGTCTTGAAGAAGAAAAAAATCCAATAAGGAACTAACTTATGCAAAGACATTAGCCAACATTAGCTACTCTTAATGCAGTTTATCTTGGAGTGTGGTCCTAGGACTGCCCCACATCAGAATTGCTTGTTTAAATGCAGGTTCCTTATTACCCCAAAGAGTGTACTTACTGGGTACATTCTCTGGCTGGGGCTGTTAATCTGCATTTTTAACTAGACCCCAGGTGATCTTAGGCACTGAAAAGCCACCGTTCTAATAGCTAGGGCTACTCAAAACCAGCAGAGCCACACATCAATCATGTCCTTTTATATTACGGCTACTCTGGTTGACCAGGGGTGCTCCTTAGCATTAATGCCCAAGGTTCGTCATTAATACCCAGGGGGTGACGTAAGCAGCAGTAACAAGGAAGTGAAACCCTTTGTTTAATTGGTCTTCTAGCTGATGGAAGTTTATTTTTTCTTCTGCTTTCTGTCCTCGCAGAAGTTCACCGCCTCCAGCATACTCCGCACACACATCAGGCAGCACTCGGGGGAGAAGCCCTTCAAATGCAAACACTGTGGCAAGTCGTTCGCATCCCATGCTGCCCACGACAGCCACGTCCGCCGCTCTCACAAGGAGGACCAGGGCTGTTCTTGAAGCATCTGCGGGAAAACCACAGACCAAGATGCCCTGTATCCCCACATGAAGTTTCATGAAAACTGCTAGCCCTCAGGAGAGGTTGGGGACCATGGGAAAACTAAGGACTCAGATCCTGACTTTATTTTCCTTGTTTATGTGTGAACAAATGATGGTTCTATTGAGATAAGAAAACAAAAAATTGGACAGTTCCAATTAGCTGAAATGACCAGATTTAAACAGCTTTCTCAGAAATGTTTTTCATCATTTCCAATAAGAGTGAGATTTCAGTGAATTTACCTAGAAATAGTGAAAGCTGGCTATTAATAGTTCTTAAACATTTGAAACTCAAAAACCCTGAGAGAGAAGGGCTACGTTGAGTTTCTGGGGTGAAAGAGGAAGCCTTGTCTCTACTATGCGTTGGGCCCCAATTGCAATATGGCTGTGGCCATCACCTGTTATGTTTCTTCATAGAATAAATTCTTTAAAAATTCACTCAAGCCAGATAATCATTAGTATTGTAGCTAAGTGCTCAGACGTGAATTAATCTCCCATCTGTATGTGGATCCGTTTTAAACCCTCACTTCTCACCCTTCCCCCATCACAGGACCAGCGCCGGTTAATATTGGGTTGGCCCCGCACTGAATTACTCGGAGGCCATAGAAGTTACTTATTCACCCACCATCTGTGACCTTTAATAGGGAAGAAAAGTTATTACCAAACAGAGGCTAAAAAATTTGGAATAGACTAAATAATAAATGTATTTATATTGCTCTAGTTTTAAACCTGATTTCGTTACTGATGAATAGACAAATGGAATTACTGGTCTTTCTAATTAGCTGTTAATGACATATAGAGAGCGTAAAAAAGAGTGAGAGAGACCCATTTAAAAAATGTGCCACATAAATTATCACAAGGCTGATGTGAGTAGGTGGGGAATCTCTTCTATGTGCAGGGAGACAGTAGGCTTACCTCGTGGGTAATACTGGCCAACATTTATTGAGTGTTAACCCCGGGTGAGGGTACCACTGAGTTCACCACTATAGAAATTAAGCAGAGGCTGAGCATAAGGAGCCCATTCCTCAAAGGGGCAAAGCCCAGGTCCACCTGACTCCACAGCCCAGCCTCTGACTGAGCCAGGAGGCTCAATTTATGAATCCTGCTAAGGAACTGGGAATAGCGTTTTTCTATTAACTATTTCCATGCTGCCATATCTTAAGGCGAGCAACAGCAAAGTTTTCAATATTCACACAGAAAACTCAAGACCAAAATAAGCAGAATAAAGTACTCCATAGGCAACCTACCTACTAAGCTACTATATCACATGGTTCTATTGATCTAGGATTTTTCTTCACCCTTTATCCACGGTCCACGTCTCAAACTGGACCAAATTCAATACGGAACAGATGCCCCTTCCAGAGGGAGGCTCCCAGCTGTGGCTGAGTCCTTTGAGACAGACGGAGTGCCCATGGAAAAGCAGTGACAGATTTTCCTCTAGGGAATTCTTAGCTCCGGTGACTGGATCTGAGTAATTGATCCTAATGGGAACGTGCCCTGTTGTTTTAGGGCTGTTTTAGTTCATGTTAATTAAGGCAGAACAATGGTCCTTGGGAAAGATTGGGGCTCATTCTGTAATTAGGCAGCCTTTCTTTGACTGCTAGTTCAAAATGTATTTCTTCCTGTTTATGGGTTTGAATGTTATTTTAAAATCAAACAGTAAATCAAAATATCAGGAAGTGGTGTGTCCCCAGTTTTCCCCCCCTAGGTGATAATCCAAGTTAACCGTGTAGTGTTTTGAACCAGAATAGCAGCAAATTTTTTTTCTCTTTTCTAACCATCACTCCAAAGTGCATGCATGCAAAATAATGCCTTCTATGGATCGTGCATGCCCGCAGTACCTGGAAACTAGACCGTTTCATTTACTCTGACCTGTTTCTACAAAGTTTTGGTCATATTGATCAGGTTCCGTATATCAATTTTGGTTTGCAAAATACAGTCAATTCATAACATCTTTCTTTAGTAATTACCTTAAACTCTCTTATGTTTAAATTGTTTATCTTGCCTATTTTTAAAGATAATTTGGATCAATTAATAACAGTAATACAGAGCAGACTAAGTCAAAGTAGAAGACACCCCCACATAGAAAGTAGAATGAGTTGGTATAACTTTGCTGGCTGAAGAATGTTGGAACACAACAAATAGAACGTAGATTTCAGGGCTGGGCAAACTTGCCTTTGTCCACCAAGTCCTCATTGTACAGTGCTGGGCAACTCATTTAATTGCTGAAGTTGAACATCCTCACTTATAAAATAATAATTATTTTGTAAGGTGTTTTGAGAATTAAATAAAATGAAAAGACTTGTATTCTGGATGAAACTTAATCTATTTTATCTGTGAAGGCAAAAGGGAGACAGAATTTTTATTATTGATTTATACGCTTTCTTTCAATGGTTCTAAAGTGTGGTGTCTGGACCAGCAGCAGCATCACCTGGGAACTTGTTAAAAGGCAAATTCTCTAACCCGACTGGATATCCACTGAATCAGAAGTTCTGGGGGCGGGGCTCAGACATCCTTATTGAAGTCTGAAAATCATTGCTTTATTTGATTTATCCATCCAACCGCTGCACAGCAGTGGGTAAAATTGAGTAGCCAGGTGACTTGGCAAAATCAGAAATCTGTTCAATTGGGTGAACCTATTAGAACGCAGATAGCAGGCAGATAGTGCTCCTCCCTGTACTGATGGTACCAGCAGAACTCAGTCTTACTGTTGGAGATGTGGAACTGCTGCTACGAGCCGGACAAGGGAATGGGAGACCACCTATAAATGAGGAGGTGCCTCTGCTCATCTTTTTCCCTACACGAGTCAATATCTGATTATCTGATGAGTGCATGTTCATTCATTAGAATAAAAAATATAAAAAGGGACATCCAAGCCATGGGAAAATAACCAGGCACAAAGTGGCATCCATGATATTGATGAAGCAATGGGTCCTTAGGGTGTCCTAGGGCTCAGGACATTGGAATGAACAAAACTATAGATGTTTGGGGCCTCCAGTAGGCTCAGCATTGTGGCCATAAAATCATTGCTCACTTGTAACCACAGTGCAGGCAGGTTGGGGTTGCAAGGAACTGCCATTCACAATATGATAGAAAAATCAAACATGGTCCCAGGTTGCAGTGTTTCATTCATGGAGCATTTAAGTTCTGTACTTCAAGGACACCCTGTGACTTCCGAGGGGTAATACTGCAATTGCACTGAACTGTCACTCTATGGACCCTATCCACATTTCCGGAGGATAAGCTTACATATTGATTTTTTTTTTTTAATGATTTAAGAGAGAGAGAAACGTCAATGATGAGAGTCATTGATCGGCTGCCTCCTGCACGCCCCCGACTGGGGATCGAGCCCGCAACCCAGGCACGTGCCCTGACCTGGAATCGAACCACGATCTCCTGGATCATAGGTTGATGCTCAACCACTGAGCCACGCCTGGCCGGGCTTGAATTCTTTCGATAGAAACATTTAACTAGAATATCATGTCACAATACTTTTGTTGACATACCAAAAATCGAATAACCAATTGTTTTGAAAGAAAAATAGTGTTAAGAAGAATATAAAATAGCCCGGGCGAGGTAGCCCAGTTGGTTAGAGCGTAGTCCTGATACACCAAGGTTGTGGGTTCAATCCCTGGTCAGAGCACATGAAAGAATAACAAAATAGAGATATACTTACTCCTCATTGATAATCTCTTCATAAAATACAGGAATCTCATAGAAAACGATAGTTTACTACACTATTGAAGGACGTATATAAAGAACTCTATATTTGTTGACTTAAAGTAACTTTAATAAAATGAATTATTATATTTTGAAGTGTGATAGTCATCCGTAGTCACAGCTAAGGTAGAGAATGTTTGTGGTCTTGTTTTTGCATATGGCCTCAGGATAAAATATTCTTTTACTATCATTCATTTCATCCTACATTTCCTTAGGATTTTTGTAATCATATATTAAAAAGTGAGATAAATCGTGTGTGTTGTCTGTGAAATTTGTTTTGGATTTAGTACTTTGTGTCAAAAACAGTTTGCTATCAAGAAAATATATCAAAGGGATTGAAATTCCATTCTTGCTTTTTATAAACTGTTTAAAAATACTGTGTTCTTACATTTGCTTCCACAGTGTGTTCTATTGACATCTGTTTCTCTATATCAATTATTTTTTAAATGCCAATAAAAATAATTGGTAAGATTTTAAAGGTATTTGTGTGATCCCCCTCCCCCCCATTCTTAACCAGCTAGATGCAGCAAGACATTGAGAGGCCAAACACAGTCCACAACTTACTTGAGCTTGTTTGTGACAACAGGATTTTTCCTTCGAAAAAGTGTTCACCCCCTCAGATTTTTGCAAAACTATAAGTGCTTGAACCTGGGAAGGTTGGGTGGATTCCACTCCCCTGGGATATCTGATTTAAAGGTGCCAGAGCCAAATTCCCTTAAATTTGATTTTGAAACTCTTCCAGTTTGAATGGGCAAGGTGTCTTCCAAGGTTGTTGTTCCAGGTTCTTGCTTAGAGGGAGGCTGCTATCTCTAGTTTCCAGTTCTTAAATACCAAATCCCTTCAGCCACAAAGTCCCCTGGGCAAGCCCAAGGCAGGTCTAACTCAGTAATAGGAGGGCCTGAAATCTTCAGGGTGACTAGGAGCTTAGGGCTGGGCAGTCAAAAGCAAGCCTGGAAAGGGGTTCCAGTTTTAGCCAGAGGGGAGGACTGAAGGGCTGGAAAAGCCAATGCTGAAGATGGTGCTCAGATACAAAAACCAAAGCCCCTTTGGGCTATCCACAGCTCTGGGAGCCTGGGGGTCCTAAGTCTGAGGACACAAATGCCCAGAAGAATTTGGAGGAAGGAGGACCTTGAGCCCAGCCAGAAACTTTGGCAATTGTTACAAATTTTACTAATTACAAAAGCCTCTCCTGGTTAACTAGTTACCTAACTACTTACATGCAATTGTTTTTTCCAGGACTGACAGGATTTGCCAGGGAGAAGAAATAAAAATGAAGAAATGGGTGTTTTAAATCTAAATTACTTGAATAACAG